ATTTTTATATTGTCTTTGCATTAGGTTGGCTTTGTCTTGACATTTTTATATTGTCTTTGTATTAGATTACAGGTAGCATTGTCTTGACATTTTTATATTGTCTTTGCATTAGATTGGCTTTGTCTTGACATTTTTATATTGTCTTTGTATTAGATTACAGGTAGCATTGTCTTGACATTTTTATATTGTCTTGGCAATAGGTTGGCTTTGTCTTGACATTTTTATATTGTCTTTGTATTAGATTACAGGTAGCATTGTCTTGACATTTTTATATTGTCATTACATTAGGTTGGCATTGTCTTGACATTTTTATATTGTCTTTGCATTAGGTTGGCTTTGTCTTGACATTTTTATATTTTTTTGGCAATAGGTTGGCTTTGTTTTGACATTTTTATATTGTCTTTGTATTAGATTACCGGTAGCATCGTCTTGACATTTTTATATTGTCATTACATTAGGTTGGCATTGTCTTGACATTTTTATATTGTCTTTGCATTAGGTTGGCTTTGTCTTGACATTTTTATATTGTCTTTGTATTAGATTACCAGTAGCATCGTCTTGACATTTTTATATTGTCATTACATTAGGTTGGCATTGTCTTGACATTTTTATATTGTCTTTGCATTAGGTTGGCTTTGTCTTGACATTTTTATATTTTTTTGGCAATAGGTTGGCTTTGTCTTGACATTTATATATTGTCTTTGTATTAGATTACCGGTAGCATTGTCTTGACATTTTTATATTGTCATTACATTAGGTTGGCATTGTCTTGACATTTTTATATTGTCTTTGTATTAGATTACCGGTAGCATTGTCTTGACATTTTTATATTGTCATTACATTAGGTTGGCATAGTCTTGACATTTTTATATTTTTTTGGCAATAGGTTGGATTTGTCTTGACATTTTTATATTGTCTTTGTATTAGATTACCGGTAGCATCGTCTTGACATTTTTATATTGTTATTACATTAGGTTGGCATTGTCTTGACATTTTTATATTGTCTTTGCATTAGGTTGGCTTTGTCTTGACATTTTTATATTGTCTTTGTATTAGATTACAGGTAGCATTGTCTTGACATTTTTATATTGTCTTTGCATTAGATTGGCTTTGTCTTGACATTTTTATATTGTCTTTGTATTAGATTACAGGTAGCATTGTCTTGACATTTTTATATTGTCTTTGTATTAGATTACCGGTAGCATTGTCTTGACATTTTTATATTGT